TAGGACCCTACTGATACTGGTACGGACTTTGAACTTATGGGGTCCCTATACTTGCGGAGTCTGCACGTTTCGTTTTAGGGAGTCCTAACCAGGCTGAAGTCCATTTCATACAAAATTACTTTGACAGCAGCATCGCGAGAGCCTGCAAAACGGTCACTGTGCTTCGTTCGAAGAGCGATGCGTTCTTCGGATCGCAGAGGCCTTCTTTTTCTGATCCTCTGTACGACCGATTTCGAACCTCCTTACTATGCAAGTTAAAGATTTGCGTGTCACGGATACCAGTTTCAATGTTTTCTCCGGTATTTCACCTTCCGATTTTGTTTTTCAAAAGCGCCGCCAGCGGTCAGATTGTGGAAACTTTTTATAACACTCGAAGACACACCGTTCAAAAGTGTTGGCCAAATTACAAAAATACAGACACAATACAGACATGAATTGGTAATGAACATATGATTTATTACGCACTAAACACAATCATACTTTATTTTCAAAATGTTTAAAACCGTTGAAGTTGGTCTTTATTGAATAATAACGGCCTGTGAGAGCCGGCATATTTGGGTTGCTCTCTGCGTGAGCACCTTTTCGACAATTTAACGTAGGCCTAAATGCGTTTTTAAGGATTTCTGCCCAGACATGAACATGATCAGTCCAACTTCACAAAACATCACGTGTGATATCGTGATTAGTCGCCATGCCATAATACAAACAGGAAAATTGTGTAGATTGAAGATTTCGGCTATTACGGTGAAACATAATCATAATTTGGGGAATAAGTTCACTTGAGTGTTGGTTTTAGGTTTTCAGCCTAATGTGAGCACGGATCGGTAATACATTAAACTTCATGTGTAATGTCTTTATTACTAACTCTCCATGTGATATAAACAGAAAAATTGAGTAGATTGAAGGATATTTTGGGAAATTTGTTTTTGCTGGTTTTTAATTTTTCAGCCCTAATATGAGCATGGGTCAATAAAACCAGCTAGAACTTCACGTGTGATTCGTTACTAGTCTCCCTGCCATAAATAAACAGGAAAATTGTGCAGATTGAAGATTCTAGATGTTATGATGAAAAATGAGTTCGAAGAATTTCTCGTTTGTTGGTTGGTTTTCTGGTTTTTCAGCCTTAATATGAGAACAGATCGGTAAAACTACAGGAAACTTCACGTGTGATGTCGTTACTAGTCTCCATCCATTAGTCTTGAAACTCGGCTTTTTCTTGTTCGCAATTTGTAGCTCTGTACGAGGGCTAATATTAGCCCTCACAGGAATATATAACAGCACTACAATGACCAGGGGCGACGACCGACTGGCAAGGGACTACTGAAATTTGCGGAAAAATCACATTTGGCAAGAACTTATTGCAGGTCACAAAATATACCACAATACTGGATCGTCGTTCATGGTTCCTGGTTCATGTTTACGTGTGTTGAAATAATTATATCCGAATGAAAAAGGTCTGTCGAAAAATGGTTACATGAACAAGCAATGTTAGCTAGAGAAAGTGTTCGAAAGTGTGGGGAAACAACACGACATGGAAAGTTTCCTGTTCCCCTTCATCCTCTCAGGGCACTACAGACCTAAGATAGGGGCCTTTCGATTAAACTTCAATCAAAATGCTGACTAGAAACGAAATCTGTACTCTCTCGAGTGCGAGTACACCGGCAAAGGGAAAACAAACACGAGCGTTGAAAAATCATCCCTCTGCAAAACGGCCAAATAGTGCCACTTTCGAACCCGACAGCACCCACATTGCTCAGAATTTGAAGCCCAAAGTCCGGGCCAGAGGTTCAATGCCATATTTCTCCAATTCCTCAATTTTATGGCTCTCAGGACTCTCTAATATAGTATATTTTGAGTGTGTAACTTTTATTAATGAGCTCAGTGGACATA